GTGTGTGTGCGCGCGCGCGTGTGTGTGTGTGCGCGCGCGTGTGTGTGTGCGCGCGTGTGCATGTGTGTGTGTGTGTGTGCGCGCGTGCGTGCGTGTGTGTGTGTGTGTGTGTGTGTGTGTGTGTGCGTGCGTGCGTGCGTGTGTGTGTGTGTGTGTGTGTGTGTAGGCTAGACGACAACCCTGGATGATTCTCCTCACATCTTGTCCACCCTTTCTATTTCTTTCCTTCCTTCCCCTGCCCACCCACCTTTCAATGGGGTCTCTTATTGGCCTGAGGGTTACTGATTAAGCCAGACTATCTGGCCAGTGAGCCCCCCATTCTGCCTGGCTTTGCCTCCCCAGAACTTGGATTACAAGTGTGAACTCAGGATCTTGTGTAGATCACATATTCCTTATTCCTCCATCTGTTGATGGAAGGCGTAATGGTCTTAAGTTTTCTTTCCAGACTCCAACAATGTCATTTAACAGGTCAAGGTGATGGACCATTTTGAGATGTTCCCCCTTCTCACTGTCCAGGACCTTGAATAGTTATGACTAGCTAGAGTTTGAAGCTGTACATGCAGGAGTACTGTTATACTTGAAAGATCAAGGCTTTTGGAAGCGGAGAGTCCTTTGGAAGCATGCTCAGCTCCAGTCCTAACAGTGAGTTTTGTCAGTCCTGTAGTGAAGATTTGGGTTTTAATACTAACCACTACCACGGGCTCTGTGGGATCCAATGGCTATGTTTTAAGAGTGAAGTAGAAACCACTGAATAAGTCTCACACTGCCATCCACAGAACTGTTGAGGGTTAAATGAAATCAGGTGGAAAGGACACCTAGTAGCCATGCAATTAGAATACAAAATACTGTAGCTATACAAAAGTTACCTTAGTTGTTCTAATAAGGACATTTGACTTTACTTAGCAAAATAACAAATTTGATTAGTTTGAAATCCATAGCAGAGAATACATTCCACAAGAAGACCACCAAGGTATTTGGGGGGGGGGGTGGCAGTGGTGGCACAAATGGAAAAGATTGCAATATACCTGATTGTTTGCTTTAGTTGTCAGCTTGTCAAAGCCTAACTAGAGCCAACTGAGAGGAAAGACTTGATTGAAGAATTGCCTTGACCAGATTGGCCTGTGGACATGTCTATGGAGTACTGTCCTGATTAGTTGATGTATGAAGGTCCAATCCACTGTGGGCAGCACTATCCCTAGGCAAGTGGCTCTGAGCTAGCTAGGGATGAGCTTGTGAGAAGCCAGTGAGTGAGCCAGAAATGTTTTTATCAGAATGAAATGAGGACAGTGTCTATGGATGCTCAAATGAACTTTCTTCCATGAATGACTGGGGATTGATAGAACATTTATCTACGCTAGAAGTTTAAGGAGAATAGCAGCAATCACTATACAGTTGCAGGGCTAAGGAAAGCAGCCAAGTGCTGTCACTGTGACCTGGTGAACTCTGAGGTTGGGGAAAAGCAGGGTTACGATGCTAGTCGGTGGCTGGGGAAGGTGTTCCAGGGGCTGGGGATGCAGTTTAGCTGGTGGAGTGTTTGCCTAGCAGGCATGAAACTCTAGGTTTCATCATGAGCTCCTCCTAAAGCTGGGTGTGGCAGTACATGCTTGTAGTGCTAGCAGGATCCAGGATAAAGGGGCCCCCTGGAGCTGAAAACACAGGCAGTTATGGGTGCTGGGAACCTAACTTGGATCCTCAGTAGAGCAGAAAGCATCCAACCACCAAGCCATCTCTCCAGTCTTCTCTCTATCTCTCTTTTGTAAAAGAATTCTCTGTGTGAGTGACGGGGATATGCATACCACAGCACACTTGTGGTGGTCAGAGGGCAGCTTTGCCGAGTCACTTCTCTCTCTCCACCTTTCTGTATCAGGAGTCAATGTTAGGCAGCAAGCACCTTTACCCACTGTGCCATCTCAATGACCCTCACCCCGATATCTAATGTAGTGCTAAAGACCAAGAGCCTGGAGCAGAGCACTTCTGCTACACAGTCAGAAGAGATAAGGGCTCCACAGGGAACGGGAGTTTGTGATGATTGTGACTGGTGCCTTGGCATGGGAGACAGAGACTTGGCTGAGATTCCAGAGATTTCTCAGCTAGGGCACTGATGTTTGGGGCACTGGGCATGTTCTGCAGCAACCTCGGTTTTTACTTACTAAATGCTACCCAGTAGCACCTTCATCAACAATGGTGACAAATAAAAACGTCCCTAGCCATTGTCTGTGCTCTGGGCAGTAAATTCATGCCCATTAAGAAACTTTGGACAGAAGAAAATGAAGGAACTGATTTGAACAGCTAATATGCAGAAGCAGAAATACCAGCAAGGAGTGAAGGATGACACAGCAGGACGACCCAAGGCACACAAGTCATTTCTGGTTTGGATGATTTCCAGATAAAGACTGGAAAAATAAAAGGGTCAGATTTGGGGGTAAAGTTAACTATGTAACTGTTTTTGCAATGAAATACTGCCGAGTTTATTTTCTTACAGTTCTAGAAGGTGGGGGTCTGACGTGGGTCTCAGAAGGCTGGAATGCAGCTGTCAGCAGGGCTGACCCCTGACCTTTAAACTGTGCCTCTCCAGCTTCAGACTGGTAGCTTTCCTCAGCTGGTGGCCACATCATTCCAACCTGTGCTTCCTTTATCACACTGTCCTCTCCAACCCGGACTCCTGTAAATACCTTTATGATTACATCAGTACCACATGAATAAGCCAGGGCTAAGTCCTCCTATGTAAAGAGCTTTAACTCGATCACATAAAGTCTCTTTTGCTATTACAATGCAACTTGGAAGGTTTTGGGGGTCAGGATACGGACATATTGGGGCATCCTCATTTCAGCTTATCACAACATGTATGGGGGTATCAAAGGTGTCTAAAGTGCAGCTGAATGTATAGCATTTGGATTTGAGAGATTAGGCCTAAATGACATAAAGTCTTTGGCATTTTAGATGCTTATGGATATGGCTATTCCTGAGGGGGGGTAGTAAGGTAAGAAAGGTATCAAAGGCATTATTTTAAGGAATGTTATTATATGGGTAGCTGTATCTTGATTAAAATTGCTGCATGCAACAGATGCTGAAATGGTAAGGGTTTAAGTAAGAAAGAGCTCTCTTTAAATGGCAAAGTAGTCTGGGCTACTATGACAGCTTCACTACACCGTCAATGGGACAGGTCCTAACATCTTCCCACTCCATCATCCTCAGGTACTTGGCTGTCATCTTCGGGTACCACCAACCAATATGACTGCTCAGCAGTCATCTCTCCAGGTTCCTGGAAGGAGAGGGGAAGGGTAACACAGGCCTCTTGACTGAGTCAGGTGTTTCTCTCCCTCTCTGAGACAGGACCTTTGCTATACAACCTAGGTTGGCCCAAAAATCAAAATCTTTCACCTCAGCCTCCTGAGTGTATGTGCTGGGTGTGGTATAACACGCCTTTAATCCCAAGACTTGGAGGCAGGGGCAGGATCTCTGAGTTCAAGGCCAGCCTGGTCTACAGAGCAAGTTCCACACCAGATCTACACAGAGAAACTCTATCTAAACAGACAAACAAAACAAACAAGCTGGGCGGTGGTGGCGCACGCCTTTAATCCCAGCACTTGGGAGGTAGGGGCAGGCGGATCTCTGTGAGTTCGAGACCAGCCTGGTCTACAAGAGCTAGTTCCAGGACAGACTCCAAAGCCACAGAGAAACCCTGTCTCGGAAAAAACAAAACCCAAAAACCAAACAAACAAAAACAAAACAAAAAACCAAAACACAAACAAACAAACAAACACTTCAAGGAAAAGTTAAGCAGGGAGAGCAGTTGGGAGATGGAATGCAAAAAAGGGGTGAGAGGTGGAGGGTAAACCAAAGTGTAGGGTGTACTATGGAAAAGCCGTATGGAAACCTACTATTTTGCAGCCCAATTAACAAATACAAATTTTAAAAGCATCTAGAAGGAAGATACCCTGCATAGCTGGAAAATGTTGTTCATAGAAGCCACGGGTTACTGAACAACACCCCAAGTGCTTGGTACGAGTATGTGCTCCTGGTCAGAGGCAGTTCTTGCTGCTCCTCTCGAGTGTCTATCGCAGCTAGATGATAGACTCCGTTGCTGAAGACGTGGCACACTTTGGTTGCAGGATATAGAGAAATCACCCTGGAATTGAGCTGGAAACTTCCTCCCTGCTGTCTGGATTCCTAGTGCCAAAGATGCTATGCAGGCTGCTGGGAGAGAAGAGACATAACAGTTTCACCCAGCTATGAACCCTGTGAACCACACTACTCACTTGCCAGGCCAGGTGAGCTCAATTCTGCAATAATGGCACAACTGTTAAGGGAGTGACCAACCACTCCCTGCTTAGATTTAAGGCCTGCTCCAGAGAATTCACACCTGGTATTGTAAATCTGGTCAAAAACACCTGGCTAGGGAAGTTATAGGCTCTAGCTAGGAACCTACTTCTGTTGTTTAGCTGAATTGACACAGTATCAAAACTGCCTTCTAAATATCTGTCTATAGCCCTAGACAAATGTATTCTCAGCCTCCATAGAAGGCTCCTTTGCAGTGAACACCTGTGACTATAAAGACTCCAGGCTTCTCCAGGTGCCAATAGTAGATGACGGCTGGATGCTTGGAGCTGAACCAGACATTTACACCACCGCTTCTCAGGTTTGGGGAACCCTGCAGGAGAAGGAGAAGTTTGGTGAGCAGGAAGGAAGGCTGCAGAGTGCCATCTTCCGGGCATGACAAAACTTGCATTAATGAACTTGGAGCAGCTGTGGCCACCTGTACTGGGCCTGCTCGAGGCTGGCCCTAGCAACAACCAGCAGTGAATGGGGAAGGGCGTCACGGGCCTGCGCATCCCTCTGAATTACTGACTTGTGATAGGTTCAGGGAGAGGAGGATCCTTGTCTTCAGTTGTGCACACAGTGCTTAGCCCGCCAGGCTCCCACGAATAGTTCCAAGTGTGTGGTCATACAGATGGCCCTGGTTAAATTGGGTGGAAAGGGGAAGAAGAAAAGGGGTGTGAGGGAGATAAGAGGGGTGAGAATTACTGAGTGCAGTGTATACATGTATGAAGTGGACAGCTCTATTACTAAACAAAGGAGAGAATGGGTATGGAGTAGGGATGGACAGAAAAAGCCTACTGATAACACTGAGAATGAGTGGCCATGAGGAAAGGACAGAGAGGCTGTTACTTCAGGGACTCGTCCTTGCCTTCATATGAACTCAGAGGTTATGATACATTGTTTCCACTGCTTGAGAACTGTGGTAGAAAAGGGCAACTGTTCCAGCTGGCAGTATCTGTTAGAAAACCATCCGCCCTGACAGCACTCTTTTTTTTTTTTTTGGTTTTCTGAGACAGGGTTTCTCTGTGTAGCTTTGGAGCCTATCCTGGCACTCGCTCTGGAGACCAGGCTGGCCTCAAACTCACAGAAATCCCTCTGCCTCTGCCTCCAGCGTGCTGGGATTAAAGGCCTGCGCCACCAATGCCCAGCATGACTGCACTCTCTTTAACACAGACCTCGATGCTAACCAACCTGCTTATCAAATTTAGGTTGGAGGACAGGAAGAAAGCTATCAGAATCTTCAAGCAGGTCTCTTAACAAAATAACATAGTGGATACAGCTATATTTCATTTTGGAGAATTTACCCAACTCTTGACCTGACCTTGAGTCAACAAAAACCACCCCTCACCACCTTGAGATGTGCTGAAATGGGCAAGCCTTTTCTATTATTTCCCAAGAACCTTTTTTTTTTTTTTTTTTTTTTATGTCCTAATCTAGTCTGATTCTCACGGATCTCTTTCCTCCCATCTCTAACCTAAGCACTCAGCAAACCATTCACTGGGCTAGCACAGTGAGCTTTGTTGTATTACACACTCTCCAGCCTAGTATCACTGAAGAGCTGCTGGGCAGAAGCAACATTCATCAACAGAACAACTACTTGATACTGCTCCAAACAAGTGGGCTACGCATTATGATGGGCTTTCCCAGTTTCCCAGCTGAGGTTCTCTGGGCAGCATGCTGTTTCAACCTATATTCAATCTCCAGGGAAGCAGAAGGCTGGGTGTGCAACTCAACACCCCCACCCCATGCTGCCTCTAATGCAAACACTACCGCCCAGGTTTGTCTCATTCTTGTTGAGACAACCATCAAGGTTCAGGAAAAGGACTTGTGTTACACCAGCAAATGAGATAACAACATCCCCAGTCAGGTATGGTGACACACCTGTAACTTGGAGCTTAGGAGTTAGGAGGTAAAGGCAGGAGGATCTCAAGTAGGAAGCAGACTGACCTCAGGCACCCTGTCTCAGAATAACAACAACACACCAACCGAAACAAACTAACCAAGTGTTGTCAGGTTACTGGGAAACCAGACATACTTAGAAGATGAGTGCCTGAAGTCCCCACTCTTTCAACCAAACTCAGCCCTGTTTAGATGCTCTTAGGGAAATGTGCCGGCTGCATTTCATAAATTCTTGATCTCACACAAGGACAGGTGAACTTTTAGAATGACTGCCTTTGATATGGCTTGTCTCTAATGGCACTTCTGTTCCAGTGAGCTTCGGGTCCACTCCACTTGGAAAAATCATCTGTGTCCTTTACTTACTCCTAACTGCATTTTTATAACTGTAAACAAACGGCAGTATGTCTGGTCCAGCTAGTCCAAAACTAGCTAATGGAGTGCTGGTTAACATGCCACATACAATTTCTTAAATCTCCACAACTCTAAGGGATAACACAAAGTTAGCTTACCGATGGGGAATCTGAGGTACAGAAAGGTGCTTGATTCCATCAGTCACTGTCAGCAGAAGGCTCAAACTGGGCCTGTTTTCCTCCAACCTTCACCAGTAAAAGCTACAAAAAGTCATACTTTAAGTACAATATTACAAACTCTGTGTACATGATTTAGAAAGTCTCTTAAGTTTCTCCATAACTCTAGCTGTAAAGGTATGTCATCTCTAGTCTGGACCTATACAGGACTATTTTGGGTACGGACAGTTACAAGGGTATTACTGCTAAATAAGAAAAGCTCCTACTTAAGAATTTATACACATGGCATATTTGTATTATGGTGTGGCTGCCCGAGGAGAGGTCCTGAACCAAAAAGCAAGCAGGCATCCAACATTGCAGCTTCTGGGAGAGGGAGGCTGAGGGTGTTAGATCATGCTGAGGTATTTGTATCATGCAGAGCTACTGATGGTGACTGAACTTTCTGGGCCATCTCTAGATTAGGAACAGCCTTGCTCAAGGCAGACAGCAAGGATGAATCTTCCTTGTAACCAGCAGGTAAAGAATTGATGCTAGAAATGGGAGGACTGTTTGCTGGGAGAGGGCAGAGGAGAGCTAAGAAGCTCCAGGGGCCTGACAATAGCTGCCCAGCTGGGAAACTGGGTATATAAACGACAGTCTGATAGGGTGTCTATTGATTCCGTGCACTTAGAGGTGATCTGATTACAGGGGCGCTGACCACAGAAACATGGAGTTTCCTCCAAGACTCAAGTCAGGAATAGGAACGGAGAAAGCAGATGGCTGAGTTTCCAGAGCAGATACAAAAGGAAGGAAGCATCAATAACCAAGGCAGAGGGTATGGAGAATTCAAGGATGAGAAGAGAAATCCCAAGAGGCTGGCTAAGGACAGAGGTCACAAGGGAATGAGAGGCCTGGGGTTTGGTTAATCCAAGCAGACACAACAGACATCCACTAATGTCTGTGAGAGGGAGTCAGAGAGCCTAAGCCAGCTCAAGTGCTTAGTGGCTGTGATGATGGGCAGTAGAGACAAGATTCTTGTAGATGAGATCCCACTAGCGTGTCTGTGCCAGGAATGATCTGGAAGACGCCATAGTCATAGGCTTCTGTTGAGGACAATGTGGAGACTGAGCAGGCTCCATTTGTGAGGAGCACAGCCCTAAAGCAAACCAGTTTCTATCAAAGAAGATAACTAAGTACTTAAGAGTACTTGCTGATCTTACAGAGGACCCAGGCTCCATCTGTAACACATTCCAGGAGCTCTGATACCCACTTCTGGACTCTGTGGGCACCAGGCACACATGTGGTTCTCATACATACTTGCAGGCAAAACAGCCATATACATAAAACATAAATAAATCCTTATTATTATTTGGGGATAAGGTTTCCCTGTATAGCCCTGGTTGTCTGGGATCTCTCTGTAGACTAGGCTGGCTTTGATCTCAAACATCCTTCTGCCTCCCAGTGCTTGGATTAAAGGCATGCACAACCTCATCCAGCTAGTAAATAAATCTTTAAAGTGAGAGATATCTCCGTTCCTATGAAGTTTATAAGTCACCCTGGAAAGTACAGTCATCAGCCAAGGTAATTCATCTAGATGACCTTTAAGCTTTGCCCATTTATGAGCAACACAACCTTGCTTTGCCATTGAAACTGTAAAACTTAGTACTTCTTTTTTCTTCTTCAGCTTTGGAGCCTGTCCTGGAACTCGCTCTGTAACCAGGCTGGCCCTGAACTCACTAAGATACGGCTGCCTCTGTTTTCCAATTGCTGGGATTAAAGGTGTACACCACCACCACCACCACCACCACCTAGCTTCTGTTTGTATTTTTCAGACAGGGTCTCATATAGTCCAGACTGCCCTTAAACTCATTGTGTATCCAAGGATGACCTTGAACTTCTGATAAGGTCTCCAAGTACTGGAATCACAAGAAGGCACCACCATCCCTGGAATCTAGGTATCAAAATCTGGACTTCACACATGCTGAAACAGTCTTCTCAACTGAGCTACAGCCCCAGCCTGCTGAAACTTTCTTAAGCATCACATATAAGATTTAAAGTTTGTTTGTTTTTCAAGACAGGGTTTCTCTGTAGCTTTGGAGCTGTCCTGCCTGGAACTCACTGTTGACCAGGCTGGACTTGAACTCTCAGAGATCCACCTGCCTCTGCCTCTGGAGGGCTGGGATTAAAGTCGTACACCACCACCGCCCAGCCAAGACTTAAGTTTTAGGAACACAATTTCTTTATGTAACTATTTTTACTCGAGACAGAGTATCACTATGTATGTAGCTCAGGCTGATGTAGAACTAAACTACTCCGTCACCTTCAACACAAAACTGTTACTACCAAGTCCTAACATAACATGAAACCAACCCTAGACAACATACAAGTGACTGTTCTATTAAGGTTCATTTTCTATTTGGGGGTGAGGTTGGGCATTTTTGTGATAAAAATACAGTACTCTAAATGGCTTTAGTCCCCAGCCCAGCATTTTCTACGTTACACCTCAAATAATACAATAATCTAGTTTAACAGTTCCTCCAAGTTTACTATTCAAGCTGTAGACCTATTTAAAATGGAGTGTTAAAAATACTAACTTCATTGCCATCCTAGAGCCCTCATCCAGCAGCTGGTGGAAGTAGAAGCAACACCCACAGCTAATCACTGAACTGAACTGGAAGCCAGTTGCAGTGAGGAGTGATGAGCAAAGGGGTCAAGACCAGGCTGGTGAAACCCACAGAAACAGCTGACCTGAAAAGAGGGAAGGAACTCTTGGTCCCCAGACTGATAGCTGGGAAAACAGGCATGGTTTGATCCAGACCCCATAAATGTAGGTGTCAGTGAGGAGGCCTCAGAAATCTATGGGGCCTCTTGTAGTAGATCAGTACTTATCCCCAGCACAGGAATGGACTTTGGGAGTCCATTTCACACAGAGGGATACGCCCTCAGCCTAGACACATGGGGGAGGGCCTAGGTAGGCCCTATAGCAAAGGATGACAGACTCTGGGGAAAAAAAAAAAAAATCCCCCATGGAAGGCCTCACCCTCCCTGGGGCGCAGAAAGGGTATGGAATAGGTAGGGTGTTAGTGGGGGGCAGGGGAGGGAGAGGGAACTGGGATTGACATGTAAAACAATCTTGTTTCTAATTTAAAAAATGGGCCTGGCGTTGGTGGCGCTCGCCTTTAATCCCAGCACTCGGGAGGCAGAGGTAAGTCGATCTCTGTGAGTTTGAGACCAGCCTGGTCTACAAGAGCTAGTTCCAGGACAGTCTCCAAAGCCACAGAGAAACCCTGTCTCGAAAAACAAAAAAAACAAACAAAAAAGAAAAACAACTCATATGTACATAAACTCTAGATTCATACTGGCTAGTTCTAGGTCCATGCCATAAATAGAGCACCCACTAGCTACTGTGGCTACAGAAAATTTTCCCATTTTCCTTATTTCTAACATACCCTTTTGCAGCTAAGACTGTCTCCTTTCTGCTTACTCAACAGGATTTACCTTCTGCGTCATTAGGTATTTACTTGAGTTTAGCTAGCCTTAGAACACAGGAGGCACCAACTGTGCAGCATAGGCCTTAGATGATGTACTAGGTACAGAAATAAAAATTAAGTCAAAGTTATAATTAATTAGTAGGGATGCTTTACTCCTGCTCACAAAATGAATACCTTGAGGTAACCAGCATCTGTCAGGTAATGACTCAGTCACTTCAAGGAAAAAGTATTTGAATTTACAAACTGTAAGATTAACACACATTAATGAGGTCTTTTGAATTTATGAAAGCCCCACGTTTAAGTTAGTATATAAGTTAGTATTAAGCTAAATGTTTAGTCATCCTAATGGTTCATTTTTTTTTTATCACGCCAGGATGCAAGAAAATGAAAATTCCAGGACTTTCTTTGCATACTGTTAATGTGTCCTTTGATAGCTATTCTAAAACTTAATAGTCAACAAGTCCTGTGTTACAGAGGCTCAACCTTTGCAGGACTTAGTAAGAAGCCTATCAGGGCTGGAGATGACTCAGTAGTTAAGGGCACTGGCTGATCTAGAGGACCCAGCTTAGATTCCTAGCACCTAGACTGCAGATCCCCTCTGAAACCCCAGTCCCAGGGGATCTAGCACCCTCATCTGGCGCCCGGGAGCACTGCCCATGTGTAGTACACAGACAAAACACATACACAAATCCTAAAAACAAAAAGACCCAGTTCTATCCATCAGCTCAAAACTACTTTCAATTTCTTGTATGAAGTAAGATTTATGTCACCAAGTGCTTTGTCAGAGTTTGGAGGTCTACTTTAATCTTCTCCACACTTGTGAAGTCATCAATGAGGTCCTTTTCCCAGCCAAGACACTATCATCCTCATTTCCCTACCATTTTTTAGTGAGTGCATAACTATTCCCCTTTATCCATCACATCCTGCTGAAAGGGTGAAGTGCTGCTCTAGTTTGAGTTGCCCCAGAGGTCAAGGTTAACACCATCTACTACCTTCATTTGACCATGGCTTTATATTAGGGAAAGTCTAAACAACTAAAACTTTGTCAACAGTCATTAAACAAAGCACAATTAAGTATTCAGGATCTCGGGTTGTTTTTAATTATCTTCTTGTTAACTTATAAACTATCTCCTTTATTTTATTCTTTCCATCTAACAAGTTGGCAAAGAGTGCCACTACCAATCACACATATACAGAAGTTCCGGTTTTGTGTGTTTCTGAATGGGCTTTTAAGGACAATTCTGAATTACAATTTAGTCTTAGATCACTAAGAATTAAAAAGGAAGGTCTAAGTTGCCGGTTTCTAAAAGTATTTTAACTTAATAGATCAACTATAAAGAACTGCTAAATACTCTTTATTTGATATTACACATAGACCACAGTAAGTGCCTTTCAGTGGTAAAAGGCAGCATCTTTTGACTTAGGGAATTTTAATTAAAATGACATCATCAAGTTATTTCCTGATGTTTAGCCATTGCATGTAACAGACCAGTGAATGCAAACTGAAACACAGGTGAGTCTTCTCATTTCTGAGACAATAACAGAGTTTTCCCAGTGTTTAAACATACTCATATGCCCAGTTATATAAATTTAAGTATAAACCATTCAATAGGTTTAGGTGACACCCCCATCTTTGTGGAAAGTAGAACTTTAATAATTAAGTCCAATCCTATCTTGAGAAAGGGAGAGAAGTGATAGTATTTATGCAACTGGAATTGTTATTTTAAAAAAGATCGTATCCACTTTACTACAAGTCAAGTTTTACTTAATCAGGACTGTCCAACAAAAACATTGTTAGCCATTCATGATCTGAATTTTGGTGTGAATTAAATTATAATACACATTAAAAGTCATGAGACATTTGTTTTGTAATAAATAAGGCATCAGAATTACTCATTAGTAGCCTTTTTAAGGTAAGCTATTAGGTCTGCCCTCTCTCCCTTATTCTTAAATACAGAGAAGATCATTTTTGTTCCGGGGATGTACTTTTTGGGATTCTCCAAATACTCCATCAGGGTATCCTCTCCCCAAGTGATGCCTAAACAGAAAGGGATGCAAAAGTGAGTGTTTTATACTCCTGGTAAGTCTGCCATTGATTACACCATGCAATCACAGATGCAATCAATCTGTGCTGTGACTTAACAACAGTCCCCACTTACCTTTGTTCTTGTTGGCATCTGTGTACGAGAATCCAGCAGCCTGGCCTGTCTTCCTCCCGAACAGACCATGGAGATTTGGTCCAGTCTTATGCTTGCCTCCCTTTTCCACAGTGTGGCACTGGGCACACTTCTGAACAAAAATCTTCTTGCCTTTCTCAACATCGCCCATTTTTAATTCTAAAAATGAAAAGACCCAAGAGTTAGAGTAACCTGCTCACGGAAAACATACACCGGATCCCAATGACCATTCAAAATCACCCAACTACCAACCCACTGCTATTCTATGTCCTTTAACACCAGGACGGATGCTACCTCCTCAGTCCACTTGCAATACTCTCCAACGGCAAGCACACTATTTGGGAGGCCCCCCCCCCCCCCCCCCACACACACACAAGGCAAGTCTGTGTTCATGAAAGGTTCGTGCCCAAGGAAGGGAAATGGGAACCCAATTCAAACCTCAGAAGAAGGCAAGGTCAAAAAGTCACAAATATGAATTGGACTACAATTGCATTACAACAAAACCACTGCAATTCTAACGTTTCTGGGTGCTTAATTGCTGTCTGCGCTGCCAATTAAAGACAAAACACAGCAATGGTGCGGCGCGGGGTGTCCTAAGTGCTTTCATCTTCTCTGGTTTCATCTGGAGGTTAAGTCACTCTCTTGCATGAGTCCCGCACCGGAAGGCAA